CACAGCATCTTGGAAAAGACATAGTGTTCGATTACTGCTTCCTGCACCATGCTTTAGAAATCAAAATTTTCTCTTACAGTGGCTGCTAGCCATGTCTAGATGATTAACCTACGCTACGGTATATCCCATAGTTGAGGGTAGATAAAACGATTCATACATTTTCCAGGTCATTTGGGCGAATGTGTAATCAAGACCAGTCGAAGTCTGAACTAGCCTCACCCCACTCCCACATTCAGTAACAGTTCAGATGTTGAACATGATGTAGTACTCCCTTTCGTTACGCTGTTATCATCCTTGTCAAGCTGCGCAAATTCTGTTCTGCGTCAACTTAAACACATGTACATTTTTTTCAAATATCAATCATCAAAGCCCTGTGGAATATTAATGCGGTTGGGTATATTAAACCTAACTGTCGGTTCAGATAAACGTGAAGACAGAAATTCTGAGATATGCTTAATTCACGTGAAACGAAATAATCGAGTCGCCGAAAGAAAAGAAAAAACATGTCGTAACAAAAATATACGAACCACCTCCCATAATAGTCACATCTACATAATCTATAAATAAATCTACATCCGTATGAATAGATATACACTATTGTAGCATCATCTTCTTTAGTAAAGCGCCCTTAATAAAAGACTCAAGATCCATTCAAAGTAGTTTTACGGATGAGTTGGTACATGTATGAAAGAAGATGCAGAAATGGGGAAGATGATGGGGATAGGGAGGATAGCTAATGTTGTAGCAAACCTACGGATGATAATGGGTATGTCCCCGTTCACATAAATACAATAGTAAATACAGTATGTGGGTCTGCAGTCGGAGGTTCATCTCCGGCTGTGCTAGTCAAAATCTCTGCCTCCGGGCAGAGAGGATCTTCCGACGAGGCTTTGTCGAATGACAGAGTCTCGTCTCAAGAAAAAACGAGCCGACCCTGTTTTATACGGGGTCTACGGAGAATTTTGTCCGAGGCTGCGGACTCGGATACCCCGCATTAAATTCGGCCTTGTGATACATCTGACCGCGTGGGGCGGTTAGTAAATATTCTGCAGTTGAAGGTTCGTTTCCAGCTGTGCTGGTCAAACTCTCTGCATGCGGACAGAGAGCATCTCCCGACGAGGCTATATCGAAGGGTAGAGTTCCATCTTGGGAAACAGCTGCCCGAGCCTGTTAAATCCGGGGTCTACGATGAATTTTTGGCCGAGCCTACGGGCTCGGATACCCCACATTAAACGCAGCCTTGTGCCACATTTGACCGCGTGGGGCGGTTGGTAGATATCCCGCAGTTGGAGATTCATTGTGGAATTAACTTGACTCAATTCTAGCAGTTGCTTACTACTTATACACGCCGCTGGCGAATCTTATTTGCGTTGTTCTCCTAAGTTTATTAGCAACCTATGTGTGATTATTCTATTTAGTAACATGCCCCAGTTTACAACAGTTAACAATTATCGTTGAGTTTTAAGAGAATCAAATTGTAGTGTTCAAGGTTCTGTCTAAGGGAGAGTTTGATCCACAAGGTAGGCAATTTTAAGGAAAATGTATGAATTTGTGTTTCTTCCCTAAAATTGAAATTCAGATTAAATTTTTGTTTCACCTCCGTGGGCTATGCATCGCCAGTCCAAGCTATAAAAGTCGAAATAAGAGAATAAAATGTCATTTATGTCTGTAATAGTTATGCCAGGAGGATTCAAGTGATAAAATAAGCACGTTGATTCAAATAAACTTAATCAGCGTTAATAAGAGGAAAACAAGATCATATTCGAAAAATAAATATAAAACCGACAAGAAGACTCCTTCCTTTTTAAAGTTGCCTCTAATTAAGATCTGGAGTTTGACTTTCCACATATGATTAAGTTTCTGTTGTTTGCCATACATATAACACCTTCCATGTTTTCTGCTACCATCTCGAAACTGAATCCCCCGCAAACATGTGGATCTAATGGTAAATTAAATACATCTAGTGAGGATGGATGGAAGCTGAATGAAATCATTTAATCCTACGTGTACTTGTATTGGGTACACAAGACAAAAATTATCCCTGCTATATGAACTATTTTTTAGGCATTTTCCCCAAGGCAGGAATGCCACTAGTGTCCGGGGTGTTGACAGAGAGTGAAATTGAGAGAAAAGACTGAGTATAAAGTTGAACGGGATTCAAGATAGATAATGACAGACATTACATTTACATTTTTGAAGATTGTCCTTATTTAATTTTATATGGCACATTCGAGATGTGTCTTTAAAGCAACGGGTCTGGTGTCACAACTATTTATTTAAATTGCAAACAAGATACAAGATTTTCCCTTCAAATTAATTCCTCTTTACAATCCTTCTCCGCCCTACCGGAAGGGTTATTTTTGTAAAACTCTCTGCCTTCTCCTTACGGCCCGCTTGATAGCCACCACGTCTTCAAAACGGGTCCCCTTGATGATCTCTTTGAGCTTGGGGAAAAGTGAAATGTCCCACGGAACAAGATCAAGTGAATTGGGAGGTTGTTCCAGTACAGCGATATTTTTTTTCTCGTCAAGGAACGGCCAGATGCACTGGGCGTCGAGAGCACGTGCACTGTCGCTGTAAAGCAGCCACGATTTGTCCTGCCAAGACTCTCGTCTCTTCTCGCGCAATGAGCGAAGCAAATGCCAACAGGATCTCTTTGTATGACAAGAAGACACTGTGAACGATGTTACACTCACATCAAAAAAGGAACCCAGTCCAGTAACTTTTCAGACAGAACTATACGTCATCCACAACGGGCCATTAATATAAAACCGACAAAAAGACGCCTTCCTTTTTATAGCTGCCTCTAATTCAGATCTGGAGTTTGACTTTCTACATATAATTAAGTTCCTGTTGTTTGCCATATAAATAACACCTTCCGTATTTTCTGCTATCATCTCGAAACTGAATCCCCCACAAACATGTGGACCTAATGGTATTCTTGCCAATACTCTTAGGAGATTGCTGAATTCTTTCCTGTTTTGTTTAAGCTTTGCAGTAAATGCGTCGCTGCTTTTCTCTTCTGTATTTCTAGTCTTTATGAAATAAGGTGCACCATCCTATACTTCTATCGGTCAATTCGACTTCTATCTCATTTAGATAAAGTGCTTGTGGTTCTAATCAAATCTGAACATCTCACATAGCAGGTCAACTGTTGATGCATTAACAATTATTGCTGAAAAAGTCTATCAAGATTTAGATAAGAATTTTAAAACTAAGACTGTTGCTTTGGACATCTCGAATGCATTTCACAGCATTTAGCATACCGTTATTCTTCACAAGGTGAACGGCAGTTGTATTGTTAAACTGATTCAGATATTTTTTCTTTAAATCGCGAAATGAATGTTGCTTGAAGAGCCACTCTTATAGATATTTTTTGCAGTAATGCAGGTGACTACCAGGCATCTCTATTAGGACCTATGTTTTTCCCTAATTTTCATCAATGACCTTCCTGATAGCTTCGGTTCTCAACTCAGTATCTATTCTGAGGACATAACTATTTACCACTCACTTCATAGTAAGGCTGACAATAAGGCCAGCTGATCTAAAAATGACCTGTCCTCTGTTTTAGCTGGTTCGAGGAATATCTTGTTAATTTCAACAACGTCTCCATAATAAAACTGCATTCCATTAATCAAATGAGGCTAACCTCCAGGGGAAAACACTTGTTGCGTCTTCTTGGGCCAAAGGTCTCTGATGACAAGAAGTTGAAAATTTATATTGAATTAATCGCTAAGTCTGCAGCCAGGTAAGTTGCTTCATTGTGCCGTGCTATACATGTTTTTTTTCCTCGTCAGAATCTATATTATATATTTATAACTCTACGATTCGTCCATGTTTCGAAACTTGCCACCATATATGACCTGGTTCTCCAGGTATATATTTAGAGATTCTTGAAAAAATGTAAAGAATATGCAATATTATTTGTCCTGACCTGGATTCTGCTTCAGTCACTTTTCCACTGCCATAATTTAGCTTCTCTCTAACTTTTTCTTTAAATACTTTTCTGGTAATTGTTCTGATGAATTTATCTCTCTGGTATCTAGATTTTATGAATTTAAGCGCATTACTCATTTTGTAGCGAGGTCTCCCCATTTTTCAGTTGCAATGGCTAGATATAACCGTAGATTCTATGCTAACAGTTTCTTCTCTCGCACTCGCCTGTGAAACACTCTTTCGGCCTTTTGCTTTACAGTCAACTTTGATGTTTAATAATATAAATACAATGTCAATTGTTATCTACTGTCGTCTTTATTCCTGTTCTTTTAATGTTCTCACTCTTTAATGAAGTTTTTCTTTTTCTCATTTTTTTTCACACTCAGTAAATCCTTGTACATTAGTGGCTTTATTGTCTTACTTGGGTTGAAATGATAACAAATCTATAGGTATTCGTGGAATGTTATAGATGTATACAATTACATGCAATTCAGAATGTCTATGCGTCTTCTCACATATATATTTGTCAAATATTCTTTTCAGATGAATATTGCTATTATGTTATTACAGTGGATGTTGGAAAAACTTTCATGCGACATTTTCTTTTTTTCAAATACATGCCTCCTCGTAATTCATCTTGATAATAATGCGTTTGAAATAAATGTTCTCTGCTTTCAATTTCTTTGTTGGAATGCATCTTTAACGAGATTACACATATTTCAAGTTGTTTTCTTTCGAAGGAAACCTGAACGACAGTGCGACAATGTTCTGAAGTTGTTGCATTGTTGGTGATTTATTACGGGATAATCTTCGGTCTAACTAGCATTCCCCTCGGATAGAATTTGAACATAGATAATATGCATTTCCGTGTAAAGAAAAATGGTGACAAGAGAGCTATTCTTTAGAAAAATCAGATAATCTTATAGAAATAATTTAATTTATGGAATTATTTGGCATTTAGATAAATTTATCTCTTGCTGCAAATTACAGGCAGACATGAACAATTTAACCAGGATTCGCATCAATTTGGATATAACTGAAAAATTGTGTTTCCTTATATATAT